TTTCGGAAACTCCCATAGATGAGGAGTGTACACCTAGACTAGACCCTATGGCCTAGATTCAGGAACCAGACATTCAAGCCTGATACTGGCACCCAGTTCCTTTCCTGTTCAGGATGTAGTGATGAGACAGAGTTCATCAGGGGCTGACAAGGTCTGAGGCCGATAGGCTTCGGATTCCCGGCTCAGTTTTTTGTCGGAGCCCGGCTGGGACAAACATAGGGCCCAAGTAATTACCAATATTTTACAGCTCCGTGTTCTAGCTGTAGTAGAGTTTTGGTAGATTATACCCAAAGCCCTATTCTCATTTGCACCAACTACAACATCCAGTTGCTTGAGATGTTGCGCTGGGACCTGATGCCCCAAGCGCCGGAGTCGGAGTCTCGCCATGGACCAAAGCGTCGACCGGTTCACATCCTACTGGGTTCTTGTTGAGGAATTTAATGACAGGACGGCCACTGCCACAGAACTACAAAACTCACACTCCCTCGACATTCCTGCGCCCTGGCAGCTCATTCCAGAATCACCTGATCACGTCCCTTGCCAAGCCTCGCGTGTCGAAGGCTTTTCAAAGTCCATGACTTCCGAAATGCACATGTCAGGCAGAGCCCAAATGTACCCTCCAGGACGCCTTGAAAGCAGACCGACACGAAGGGCAGTGGGCCTGCAGCTCGCGAGCTTTAAGGATCTATAGGAGAGGCTTTAAAGTTTCAGCAGGGCTTCGCGTGTTGCGCTTTGGGGTTTGTAGGGTTGAAGGATTGCGGGGCTCAGGATTTTCGCAGGAATTTAGAGCTCCAGGGCTTTGGGGGCAAAGGTTCCGAGATTTTTGGGTCCTCGTTCACACGGGATTCAGACTTTAGTGCCTGCAGCGCAGACTGTAACAGCCACAGGCACAAAAAGCCCCAGCAGCTCAAACAACCACAACATAAAAACCGCAGGATTGAACCCATGATCCCTAAAAGCGCAAAACCCTTATAAGCCCTACAAGAGCCTTGTAAAACCCTACAATCCTGCGTGAAACCCTCTTCAGCCCTCTGAAAAACCATCCGGCCACCATTTTCAAACCACGGAACATCCCTTCAACGCCCAACATGCTACGTACAACACTAAACCCACTCCCCTGCAACATGCCATAAAAATCGCAGGTTTCCCTCGATGCGAACGAGTAGCTCGGCCCCTCAGTGCAACAGAGGATGCCAGGGCGCGATCCCAGCAAGAGCTGCAGTACTTCACGGCGCCTTATTGGGCTTTGGGGTGTTAGGCCTTGTAAGGGTTTAGGTTCAGCTTTTTGAAGGTTTTTAGTCACTCATGTTTAGGGTGGAGGGACTGCAGAAGGCTCCAGGAGCCTCAGAGGGTTTGATGCCTAGAGGGGGTTTACCACGATTTTGTGCTTAAGGTCTATCGGTTTGGGTGTTGCTTTTGATGTTTAAGGGCGGAGGGGCTTCTTCAGGGTTTGTTCTGCCTGTCGTCGTTTTATCCCGCGCGGTTGTCTGTTTCCTGGGCCTATGCTACGCAGCTCCTCATGATTGAGGCTGCAGGCTCCCTGGCGTCCAGATGCCTCAATGCCCAAATGCTTCCGGCAACATGCAGTCGATGTTGTCATAACACAGGGCATGAAAGGCTTGAGGGCTGTCTACATACATCTTCGGATCTCAACATATGGATTCAAGGCTTGGGAATCCTCAGCCTGCCTTGGCCTTGCTGTGGAGTTTGGGTGCTCGGCTTTCATTGGGGCAAGGATTTCGGGCTTGGCAAGCCGGAATTTGGAGAAAAAGAAAATTTGCGCATGCCAAAGCAGCACTCGCAACTAAACCCGGTCCCACCAAGCGGCAGGAACATGGCAAATCTACGAAGACGCCAGGCTCGAAGCAGATCGCACAACATTCGTCTGCCTTCGAAAGCTTTGGTTAATCAGGGTTTGAGAAATATTAGCAATCGTGGATTTTACTCGCCCCCAAACCCTAAAACGCCCAGTACCCTGAAGCCCTTGACCGAGGGGTGCAGGTCCCATCTTCCTCCATGCACGAGGGCTTGAGGGTCTTCATTTCCTTTAGTGGTCCCCCATATATCCATTCTACCTGAAGTCCTTCCAATCCTTAACCCGAGTAAAGAACCGTTCAGGCCCTTACATCGGACCTCCGTTTGGTAGTTTGGCGCTCTTTACGTCCCAAGGATCCTCTCGGCACGGCCGACTTGACTTGATCTTCGAAACCACGAGTCCTCAAACTGCTCTGAAACACAGGTTGAGCTTCAGAACCGCAAGCTCGAAATACCCAAATCCATCATAACCCAAAGCCCCCTAAGACCCCAATCCCCATAAACCCCCAAACCCCACAAACCCCAACCCTAAGCCCGTTAGGGAGCCTCATCTTCTGGGGGAGGCCCAGCAGGCTCCATGAGAACCTGTCGAGGGTTGAAGCTTCGCCTTTGAGAGTCGGCAGCTCCAGGAATATTGACGGTTTAGGGCATACCTGGACCTCCAAAAAGTATGTAGAATAATAGACTATAAGGGTACTATAGGGGTATTATAAGGGTACTATACGGGATCTATACCTGGACCCCAAAAGTATGTAGAATCATAGCCTTACATGGGTATTGGGCCATTATTTTATCTACTTTGGGGGGTTTAGGTAGGCGGATACACCATCTTCCGATACCTTAGGCACCTTCTGGTGATAGTCGCGCCGGAGCTCCAGCATCCACAAGCTATGGCTTGGAATTTCTGGTTTGAAGAACAATCCTTAAACTTCCTAAACCCTTACAAGCCCTACAAGATCCTTCCAAAACCCTAGAATCCTCCTCGAAACTCTCTTCAGCCCTCAAAAATCCTTCCCCCAAAAATAATGAGTTCAGGGATGCAGGACCTGAGTACTGCGCACTGGAACTTACAGGGCAGACTCATTAAGGACTTGGGGGTCGGAAGGTGGCTTCTTCTTGTTCTTCATTAGCACTCTTATTCTTGCTCTCATCAGCTTATTGTTTTCATTACTGCCCTTATTGCTACAGTATTTATTATCATTAAGATTAAGACTGTTATACTTCGTATTACCAGCATCATCGGTATTGTGAAGAATATCACCATTATATTGTTCTTGTGATTGACCCTGAGTATTAGGACTATTGCGATTGGTCTTTTGCTGTCCTGTCACAAACTTGACGAAGCGTTATGTGCCAATCCGTTTGTTGACGGCATTGCGCTGATCAGAGCACGCAAAGGTCTCAAGCTATGGTGACGTGGTTTACTGTACCTAGAGGATCATGGGACTTAGTATCTAGGGCTACCTACCATTAGGGTAACTAGACACATAACTGCATATGGCCCCAAATATAATTCATGTACTAATAAACTTACTTACTGAGTCCCATGATCCTCCAAGTACTGTATGAGCTGGAGACTTCACTCCTCTCAAGCTACGATTAGGAAACAACAGCCGCACCATGGCCAAACGTGTTTTGGACGGCATTTGCAGTGACTCAACCTTGTCGGGCAAGTACTTATACGGTATCCTCCTGACATCTCCTGACCATGCCCAACAACCGCCACCTCTATACAAACGACAGTGAGCTTGGAATGATCAGCGAAGCCCTGGACGGATCAATCGCCCTTGTCTGGGGGGATGTCTATGCATTAGCTACCTAGAAAAAGCACTGAGTTCGTGGGGTTCGGCACCTTCAACCGACACATTCCGGGGCCCTGAAGTAGAAGCCAAAAAGCTGGAACATGAATATCCTAATGACCCTGAGGTAAAACAAGGGGATTCAAGCACCAGCCATCCTAAATCCATGTTCCAACTTTTTTGGGGTTCACTGTAATCATACTTCAACTGCTTCGGTGTCCAGCTGGTCTGCCTGTAGTTGCCCACCACCGCTCTAGAACGACCCAATGCAAGGGCGCCCTTTGAGCCCAATGGCTCCATGTGGTCTGGAGTTGAGGCCAGCAGGGATGAGGTCACGTATGGGGGAGTTGCAGTTTTTCATTCTCCGTGTAGCTGACACACCAACATCCTCAGCCTTGAATGTTTGACCTCCTCCTGCTGCTATCACTCCACCTAGACTGTGCAAACCCCTAGCCCGAAATTCCAGATCCGACAAAACCGAGTAAGATTCTTACCGATACTCTAAATCCCGAGATGAACTGCTTAAGCCCTGTAAACCCTAAAACCTGATCTCCCCGGATTGGAGCTCCGCGGCGAGCCACGTAAGGGCCCAAAGCATTGAACGCATTTTGCCCTCTTTCAAAAGCCTAAGGGTCCGTACATTGCCCGGAGCCAAGAAAGAGAAGATATGGACACAGGATCTGGACCTTTTGGGAAAAGCTCGTTTGCTTCGAGAGCACCCTGAGAGAATCCCCTCCTTAGGTATCTCTGAAGGCTCTCTGGCCAACAAAGTGCACTCGAGCGACCGAAAAGAATGGCATCAAATGGTATCGGGGATGGGGGTTTGGAAATGGAGTCAAGGGATTTGTCACACACTTTGAAGTTGAGGGCATGCGCTACGGTTTCTGGGTAAAAAATGGCCTTTTTTTTTCGCATAAGCGACTAAAGCCTTCGATAGTGATTTCTTCAGATGTAGAAAGGCAGACAGAACCAACATGAAATAGGAACACTGCACCCTGGCCCTTCGCCCTGAATCCCTGGTCTAGCATTTATAAACCTGAGCACGGCAGGCAGGTGGATGCTTTTCGGCAGCTGCTCAGCAGGGATGCCTTGGATTGGAAAGTCTGCCAGCCGTTAGATCATTAGATCAGTCATGTCTCCTAAACGGTGGCAGTTGGAAATCGATGTGGTGGTTTCTTACAAATGCCGCCCAGGAGGGAGCGGGATCTATGCTAACTGATGGTTTATACCATTAGGAATGCTTAAAACTCTGAAACTCCCACATTGAGCAAGGGTGCCAGAGATTTGGCACGCCGCAGCGTCAGTTTTTGGATGAGGCCGTATACCTCCTCACTCCTGCCCCTGTCTCAACGTCTTTGCGGAGATCGGGGCACGACTCAGGCGCGATCATGCACTGCCTGCCCGGCCAGAACCAGCCCGTTACTGCAATCGGTTGAAACCAAGCTGCGAACCTTGTGGCCTTCATGGGCCCCGATATTGTGAAGAGCAGCTTAGGTCAATCGAGACATGGTGCCTCACTTCCTGCCAACGTGCCTTCACGGGGATTCTGCAACTCGAAGATCCGCTCCTGGTCGGGGTAACCTTTGGCCTTCCTGCATTAATTAAGGTATTTCTGGACATGCATTATCCAAGCTTCCGAGAAAACTAGACTCTTGTTGGCTCCCAGACATGCTTTTTTTTGGCTCGAGATACGAGGGGGGCTGGGTTCCGGGGAATTCCCACAAAACCGCCCCCAAATCCCAAACCTGGAACCCTTCTCGGCTCGAGATGGTGGGGGCGTGGCGGGGTTGGGGGGGAGGGGAGGGGAGGGGGCTCCAGGATTTCCTCCTATTAGCTGTTGTTGATTATTGTTGGTTGTTGGTTGTTGCTGGTTATTGCTGATTGTTGCTACTTGGAGCACCAGACACCGGCAACAAATCGTACATCTTAGCACTGGGACCCCACTTGGGGCACCAGACACCGGCAACAAATCGTACATCCCAGCACTGGGACCCCACTTGGAGCACCAGACACCGGCAACAAAGCGTACATCGTAGCACCGGGACCTGACTTGGAGCAGCAGACACCATCAACACATCGAACATCTTAGCACTGGGACCCCACTTGGAGCACCAGACACCGGCAACAAATCGTACATCCTAGCACTGGGACCCCACTTGGAGCACCAGACAACGGCAACAAATCGTACATCGTAGCACTGGGACCCCACTTGGCGCACCAGACACCGGCAACAAATCCTACATCTTAGCACTGGGACCCCACTTGGAGCTCCACACACCGGCAACAACTCGTACATCTTAGCACTGGGACCCCACTTGGAGCTCCAGACACCGGCAACAAATCGTGCGTTTCAGCACTGGGACCCCACTTGGAAGCACCAGACACCGCCAACAAATCGTACATCTTAGCACTGGGACCCCGCTTGGAGCACCAGACACCGGCAACAAACCCGTACATCTTAGCAATGGGACCCCACTTGGAGCACCAGACACCAGCAACAAATCGTACATCGTAGCACTGGGACCCCGCTTGAAGCACCAGGCACCGGCAAAAAATCGTACATCTTAGCACTGAGATTTCACTTGGAGCACCAGACACCGGCAACAAATCGTGCATCTTAGCATTGGGACCCCACTTGGAGCACCAGACACCGGCAACAAATCGCACATCTTAGCACTGGGACCCCACTTGGAGCACCAGACACCGGCAACAAATCGTACCTCTTAGCACTTGGACCCCACTTGGAGCACCCGACACTGGAAACAAATCGTACATCTTAGCACTGGGACCCCACTTGGAGCACCAGACACCAGCAACAAATCGTGCATCTTAGCACCGGGACCCCACTTGGAGCACCAGACACCGACAACAAATCGTACAGCTTAGCACTGGGACCTCACTTGGAGCACCAGACACCGGCAACAAATCGTACATCTTAGCACTGGGACGCCACGTGGAGCACCAGACACCCCGGAAGCAAATCGTACATCTTAACACCGGGACCTCACTTGGAGCACCAGACACCGGCAACAAATCGTACATCTTAGCACTGGGACCCCACTTGGAGCACCAGACACCGACAACAAATCGTATATCTTAGCACTGGGACCTGACTTGGAGCAGCAGACACCATCAACATATCGTACATCTTAGCACTGGGACCGCACTTGGAGCACCAGACACCGGCAACAAATCGTACATCTTAGCAGCAGGACGCCAGACACCGGCAACAAATCGCACATCTTAGCACTGGGACCCCAATTGGAGCACCAGACACCGGAAACAAATCGTACATCTTAGCACTGGGACCCCGCTTGGAGCACCAGACACCGGCAACAAATCGTGCATCTTAGCACTGGAACCCTGGAACCCCGCCTGGAGCACCAGACACCGGCAACAAATCGTACATCTTAGCACTGGGACCCCACTTGGAGCACCAGACAGCGGCAACAAATCGTACATCTTAGCACTGGGACCTCACTTGGATCACCAAATACCGGCAACAAATCGCACTTGGAGCACCAGACACCGGCAACAAATCGTACATCTTAGCACTGGGACCCCACATGGAGCACCAGACACCGCCAACAAATCGTACATCTTAGCACTGGGACCCCGCTCGGAGCACCAGACACCGGGAACAAATCGTAAATCTTAGCACTGCGACCTCACTTGGAGCACCAGACACCGGCAACAAATCGTACATCTTAACACTGGGACCCCGCTTGGAGCGCCAGACACCGGCAACAAATCGTACAGCTTAGCACTGGGACCCCACTTGGAGCACCAGACACCGACAGCAAACCCGCACATCTTAGCAATGGGACCTGACTTGGAGCACCAGACACCGGCAACTTAGCACTGGGACCCCACTTGGAGCACCAGACACCGCCAACAAATCGTACCTCTTAGCACTGGGACCCCACTTGGAGCACCAGACACCGGCAACAAATCGTACATCTTAGCACTGGGACCCCACTTGGAGCACCAGACACCGCCAACAAATCGTCAAATCGTGCGTCTTAGCACTGGGACCCCACTTAAAGCACCAGACACCGGCAACAAATCGTACATCTTAGCCTTTGGACCCCACTTGGAGCACCAGACACCGGCAACAAATCGTACCTTAGCACTGGGACCCCACTTGCAGCACCAGACACTGGCAACAATTCGTACATCTTAGCACTGGGGTCGCTGGCTTTGTTCGTTGTTGTCGGTTGCTCTTGGTACCAGTAGCTGTTGGTTGCTGTTGTTGTTGTGGTTGTGGAGCCGGTTGCTGTTGCGGTTGCGGAGGTTGTTGTTTTTTTTGCGGTTGCTGTAGTTGTTGCTGGTGCTGCTGCTGCTGCTGCTGCTGCTTCTGCTGCTGTGGTTGCTGTTGCAGTTGAGGTCGTTGCCGATGTTGATGCCGATGTCGTTGTGATTGTTCTTCTTGACCTAGTCATCGGATGTCTCCGATGGTTGGTGTTCTTCTCAAACCCTGCTTGCACATGGTCGAGGCGGGTTTGCGCAGCGGCTACATTCAGAAAGCCCCCAGAACCTACACACCCCAGATGAGAGAGAGGGAAGGAGAGAGAGAGAGAGAGAGAGAGAGAGAGAGAGAGAGAGAGAGAGAGAGAGAGAGAGATTGCAAACAGAGAGAGGCCTTGGAATCTGCGTCAGCAAGGCCCAGCGACCTGGAAGATCTTTGTTTCTCGAAGATTGGGGCTGCAATGCAGCCCTCCAGACCATTGCGGGCTTTGGTGGCTTGCAGCTTAGAGGTGCGTAGAGCATAAGTCTCTGGGTTGATTGTTTTGGGGTTTGAAGGCATGATTCAGGTTTCAGTCCTGCCCGGTGAAGTGACAAGATTGCAACTGTGCCTAATTACGTAGGAAGAGCTACCATCAGAACGTGTGGCTGCAGATCAAAGCTTAAAGGCGCCTCGACTGCAGGAGGCCCACGTGCTCGAGCAAGCCGGCGTGCACACTTTCTGCCGGCAGTGCTTTCACCTGCTTCTGCGCTGGGAGAGTTCGAAATTTGAGGGGTCTCGAAGTCTAGCAGTCTAGAAGGCACATGCTCAGGAAAGGCGTCTGAATGTGCGGAGTTCGCTGTTTGTGCTGCCGGCCTGGAGCTTTGGCGAAAGGGAAGCAAGGCTGTCTGGGCGCCGGGGCAGCAGTGAACCCTGGCGGCTTGCAGTGTCCGGTGGCCCGCTGTCACGAACTCTGAGGAGAAGTCTTGAGCAGGCAAAGATGCAAAACGACTGGTGGACCCGAGCCTGGCAGATCGTTGTGGGATAACGCACCTTTGCAAAGCTGACCTCTGCCGGGAGCCACGGTCCGATTGCCTGGCTCGGGGAGCCACGGTTTAGGGTTTATAGGGTTTAAGGTTTAGGGTTTAGGGCTTTTTCTCTCTCAGGCGTCTCACATCTCGAGTTTGGGTTTGCCCGGACGCATAGTTCGGACCTAGAGTAGGGGGTTTTACCGCGCGAAGCATCACTGGCCTCCTCTGGCAAACCCAGATCGCCAACGAGGAGAGTCGGAGTGGTGTCGAGGCCCTGTCAGATACAACACAACCTCTATATGACTCTACATGACTATATGAGCCAAGTTTAATTTAATGGGCAAGCGGAAATCTTTCAATTGTCCAGTTGAGGTTTCATGCTGGACGAAACACGGAAGTGGAAAACGAAGCAGTTCGACCAGACAGCCTGCAGCTGGAGTTCCAGACACGATGTGAAGCCTGCTTGCATTGTGTCTGCGGGTTAACCGTGTGTGTTTTTGCCGGTTGACCAATGGCGCATCGTCTCGACGGGACACTACCAGACCATGGATGCTTGCATCCAGCAAAACTTCTGCACTCCGTCGGTATCAGTCCAACATCCGGGACTCCGACTCCATGCAACCCTTCCGTTACCGTTACTTTGTAGAGTCGTGGTGCGAGCAAAAATTTCACGCACCCACCCTGAACAAGGCACATCAAGCTTCCAGCTGAGAGCCCTTATATGCCAATTATTGGCACTATCTATACCCATAGGCTCCATAGTAGTTCCTTTTTGGGGCTCGTATGTAGAATCCGATAAGGTAAACCCAAAGAGGAACTACTATGGAGCCTATGTGTATGTGCACTCTTGAATCAGTAGCGCTGATTACTTGCGTGCGATTGCTTAGTGTGTGACTCTGTGGACGTTCGCATCGGCACGGGCTATCATTTGTGCGAACAGGAACTGCAGAAAATACTGATGTTGGCGAGCGGGCACGATTGTTGATTCCCACTCGGCTCTGTTGATGACACGTCGGCGCCTGGAGCATGCCCTGCAAGTGCTTGCATTCTTCGCAGAAGGTCTCGATGGGTGCGGCAGGTAGCTGCCTGGGCATAAAAGTGTTCAACTTAGAAGCCATCGATGCTTGGCAACTTGCTGTCTCAGACTGGATGCATGCATTTGCACTCACACATTAGTACCAAGAGGCGCCCCGGCAACCTGCAGCTTGAACTGGCGCTGACCGCTCTTGCAAGCGAACTGGAAGACCGTCACGGAGCGATCCTCTGCAGACTTGCTATAACTCAAGGCTGCCATGGTCCGAGGATGAGGCATGTCTTCAACTAGACTCCTGCTTGACAACGCCAGGCTCACTGACACAGCGCTTGTCAAAAACCACGGCCTGCACTGGCACCGGATGCATGTGCGACAGAAGAGCATCTGAGTCTGCCAGTCGCATGCGGGTGGCCTGCTCGGCGCTGGCTCCGTTGTGCAGCAAGGCGACATCGCGACTGAGCCGTTGCTCCAGAGTTTGCAAAAGCTCCGGTGAACACCCCTGCAGAAAAAGAAGGTGCTTCGCGTTTCGCGCCATCATCGCCAAAATAATATCCAAGACCTTTTCAGTCGGGTACTTCCGCTTGGCCTCGGCCTGTGCAATAATCTGGACGTTCCAGGAGGCCACATGAAGCCAGGACTTGGGCCCAACGAAGCCGACAAGCTCAATCTCAGCTGCGATGGGCAGGTGGCCGGTGGGAAAGTGCCAACGGTCTCGCAGTGGCTGGGTGACTGGACGAGGTAGATTGCGGAACTTGTTGGCAAGGACGATGGCGACGCAAGCTTCCAGCCATACCTGGCCCCTCTGCAGAGATCTCTGTACGTCTTTTGATGCCTCTTCGCAATTCTCTGCAGATGCCGCGAAGCACTGCCAAGCCTCCTGTAAGCAGAGCAGTGATGCGTCCAATTCGGCCTGAGTGTCTGATGTAAGCGTCGCATCAAGCTTCTTCTGCTTCAGCTCCTGCTGCACTGCCTGCGTATCATCGCCTCAGTGACAGAATCACTTCGTCTGTGGAGGCATGCTGTGCTGCGCTGCCCTTGCATCTATGCCAAGCTCCGTGCAGAGAGTTGGAAGGTCTTTAAGGGCATCGTTCTGCACTTTCTCAAGCTGCACCAGTTCTCCTTTTGGTTTGAAACCCTTCAACATGTTGTGGAGGGTCTCCGCATGGGCAGCCATCTGGCTGATTTTAGCAAGCCAGTGCCCCAAGAGGGGCGACAAGGCTTCCAACATCACCAAGTGCTCCCGCAAACTGATGCTCCGCTGGGCGAGGAAGGCACTCCGCTCCCACAGCCGCTTCGCCTGGTGCACAGCGCAATCTTTATGTCCTATAGGTTGAAGTTTCAGAGACCTGAGGCCAGGGCATACTTCATCGTCTTGGGACATGGGCCAGAATACTCGTGCAAGCAGATCTCAACAACATCCAGAAAGTCTTTCTCCTTCGTCACTGGCTTGATCTGGCCGCCGCGGCTGCCGTATCCGAAGCGAAGGACGTTCGTCACCTCAAAGAAGCGTGGCCGACAGTTACCACCCCGGAAAAGGCTGACCTTTGCATAAAGGTCGATCTTCGCGCTTCGGCCACGGTGCCCTTCCGCCAGGGCCGCAACCAAAGCGATCTCGCTGCCGTCGCTCCTCGTCATCTTGCCTCGCCTCACATCCTCTGCGGTCCATGTCAGGGTAGAATCTCCATCTCGCTTCCCTGCCTTCAAGCCGGCCCAGTGCAGATCTTCCTGGCTGCTGCAGAGTTGGCAAGCCTGGTCCAAGAGCTCCGCGAAGCGCTGGGCAGCCTTTGTCGGATCTTCTGCGTCGAAGATCACGTATTCCTCCACATCAACATCGCCGGGGTAAGCCATATGCTTGAACCGGAAGCTGCCATCGGGCCGAGCATCTTGCTCCACAGAGATGTACCGCACGACCTTTCTCAGTTCTTCGCTGAGGTCTGGAAGAAAGCGTTCCTGCAGCAAGTCGCTGACACGGCATTGGGAACATTGCGATCTCCAGCCGACGAAGGTGCACTGTGGTTTGGGGCACCTTGCAAGTTGCAATAGCCTGTCAAATTTCTTTGGATCCAGATCCGGCACGACACAGTCCTGTCCAGTCTTGACGAGGTCCCTGCTGGTATCAAGGCCCAAGACTTCAAACAAACACTCCTTGACATGCTTCCAGCACGCCTCTGCAATCTCCACTTTCTCATCTCCCCGCGAGAGCACGCGAATTCTGAGGAGCTCAAAGCTGGAGGCAGGAAACAGCGAGATAAGGATGGTTGCACTGTGTGTCTGTAGCTCGGCCTGGTTCCGAAAGATTTGCGGTGGCCTCGGCTTCAATGTCAACTCAGTCGGCGTCGTCGTAGCCATCTGCTGGCAAAGCTCGTTCACAATCCTTGGGAACATGCTTGGTGAGATCTGCTTGCCAAGCTGAATGTAGCCGCATACGCCGCTTTCTGGGAATTCTGCAACGTCCATTGACGGCAAGCAGGAAGGCACCAAGTATTCGCCCTCCACTCCGCGATTGAGAATCATGCCCTTCTGAATCATGACTTCAATAAGTATTCCATACTGACATTCTGGAAAGTCAATGCCCCACAAGCCGTGCAGCAGGGCACTCGAAGCTACTCCGCTGGCCTTGAAGCGGCGCACATCTTTCTGGATCTTTTGGGTTCTCTCTTCCAGCTCGTCTTTGTAAGCCCTTGCATGTTCAAACTTGGACTCCTGCCAGAAACGTAAACTCATAAGTCGGGCCAGGGCGACTGCCACACTGCGCACGTTCAGGAGAACATGGTCCCGAAGCTTTTCCTTGTCAAACCAAAAAAGTACTCCGAGGCTGTGTAGGAGACGTAGCACACCATCCACATCGACCCCAGTACCCTGCAAAACTTGCTCCACCTGCACAAACTCCAAGGAATCGCACTGCAGGCGCAGGGTCACACGGCCGCTCTGCTCTTGAAGCTCCGCCCAGCTGTTCTTTAAGACCGAGCCCTTGGGGGCGAGCACCCGAGTTCCGTGGCTCGCATGTGTGCCTTGGATGGCCTCCTTCAGCTGGCGACCCCCTTCCTCTACCTTGGCGCGAAGCTCGCTCAAGCTCATTGCGACGCAAATCTCCAGGCCATCCGCAAGCTCGGTAAGGAGATCATGAGCATGAAGGTACGGCACCGGGTAGAGACTGCCCTGAAGGCCTGACGGCTCCAGCAGCTCTCTGGCCACGCTTTGAATGCACGCTCGTAGGGGCTGGATATGCTGCTCTGAATTCACGCCGAAGTTCTCCATGCAGAAAAAGCACTTCGACTCGTTCGGTTGAGGTGGACACCTCAGCCTTACGCTCAATCCGTGCATCTCCTGGCACGCAAGCTCCAGTAGATCATCCATCTCATGTGCCTCGAACTGTTTCGTCGCCCACTTGGTGGCCACTAGCACTATCGGAGGGCAAGCCTCGCCTTGGTCCCGAACATTGTGAGTTGGGCGGTCTTCATGCACTGCAAAGCGGGCCACGGCCCAGAGCCAAAACCTGAATTCCTGCCAGGCCTCCTCCAACTCCCGGCTGGCATCACAGAAGACAATGTAAATACCGGTCCCATTGAAGTAGAGGAGATTCAAATCCGAATATTCTTGCTGTCCCGGAAAATCCCAAGGCCGCAACCGGATCATGCTGGTCTCAGACCCTGGAGTGTCCTTTGCCTGGAGCTTCACCAATAAGTCCTCACCCATCGATCGTGGCACAACGTCTTGGTGCTTGAAACCTGCTTTCTTCGATGTAGTCTTGGTGGACTTCCCTCGCTCAGTTGCCCCTTCCCGCCTTTCTCGCAAGCTTGCCGCTTCTGGACTTGCTGCTCCGTTCGAAGCTCCTGCCGAGCTGGGTAGTGCAGCGAGAAGCTCGGCAACACTCGCTGCTGAAGAGTTTTCTGGCTGCGTATCATGCTGAACTTCTTTCAATGCCCCCACACCTGGGGCGTCCAACATGCTGACATCGCCATGCCCACCAGTCTCTGTCCAGCATGGCTGCGAATCACTTTGGGGGGATTCTCGCCGCTCTTTCGTGGCCCCGGCAGCTGCGCCGTCTAGCCGAGGCCCGGGCTCTGTCTGGGGGGACTTTCGCGGCTCTTTCAAGGCTTTCACAGCGAGAGTGTCCAACATGCTGCACTTGCACACCTGCCAGGATTCAGAGACATGTTCGCCAGATGTTTCCGCCCATGACACGTCGATACCATAGGTGGACCTTTCCTCACCCTCCTGAACCGACTTGTCGCCCCTCAGTCTCCTGACAGGGACAAGTCACAGCGCATGTCTCCGTGATTCCGCAGACCTTCAACCCTCAACTTGGCAAACCCCCTTCTTTAAGGCGGGGACTCTACCAAAAGATAGCCTATACTAGGTTAAACTGATGCTAGCCACAGCTCTCGACCTGACCTCAGGGTGGTCGTCTTCCCGGCTCTGCCCTGCCCCACCAAACACAGCCGGACCACGGGCAGAGGGGCTGTGCCGGATCGCTGCCAGGAAATGAACTCGCGCTCCCACTTGTTTTGGGACTCCCGATGCCTTTCGGGAGCAGATAGCTGCTTGTTTAAAAAACGTATCAACATCTAGTTACCATGTTTAAGGACCGTGGTATTACTAGTGAAACCGACATTAGGGTACCTCATTGTCTGAAGATCGCATGAAGGTGTAGGTGCGCAGAGCAACAAGCAAAAAACGAAAAGCTGGAACTGAAGTGGGAGCAAAAGGGGCAGGGAAGGGTCACAAGTTAGAGACGCCTTGTAAACCATTAAAACACCTTGGACCACCCTTAAAGTCCTGAACCAGGCCGAATAGGTTCATAGTGAGTCTCACTAGTACCACTGAGCGAGTATCGCAGCCAAAGGCCGCAAAGTCACCACCGACCGTAAACCCTAAACCCGGGAGTGCCTCTCCGTGTGCGCCTCCACCTGTCCGAGGAGCATGAACGACAAACCATGGAGGCTTCAAGGTGTATGTTGTGGCATGACTCTCTATGACAGGACATGGAACATCCTCAGTGGGCTTGCCAGCAGCAGTGCTGACAGACATTCCGGCAGCTTCTTGCTGGCTTTTGCATCGTGGAGTTGTTCAGGTCTCAGGCTTTAGGGTGGAATCAAGATCAGGACTCCCAGCTCAACGTTCTACTGCCCTGCGTTATGTAGGTCACGGCGATGGAAACCATACACAAAGTCAAGAGTCAAGTGCTGAAGCCTGCTTCTTTACTGTTCCATGACAGAGCAAAAGGAAGAATGACCTGCAAACAAGATGCCAAGTGCACACCAGCATACTACACTACTACACTGTACAAGCAGGCATCGCAATTTGGGAAAGCCTAAACCTCAGCCAAAATGCCTTCCAAAGTAGCTCGAGAAAAGTGCAACAGTTTTGAAGGCACAACATACTTCGAGCTTCTGATGCATTGTCGCGTCCAGTTCAAAATGTCCTAACAGTAGGACTATTGTGATTCTTTGTGCAAAGAAGACGTGCTTTCTGTTCTTGTCTTAGACTTGATATGGCATCCCTAGTCCATCTAACGCCTCTCGATACAATTTCAAACTTGCGATCACGATTCGGATCGCCAGGTTTGGGCATGAGGTTGCCAGGCGTCATCTGAGACCCTTTTGCTCGGCCATGTTGCAACGACTGTGACAGCCAAGACGACGGAAAGAGTGACCTCATGGCCGCTACAAGATCTCACAGCATCACCAGCTCTCAACGAAACATGTGTTGCACAAAGTGCAGTTGATCTCATGCCGCGTGCGGTGATGGGTGGCAGTGGTGGTGGTGCTTTCGGCAGCAGTGCTGTCAGGCCTCGCCACACTGGGGTTTGGATCTGGAATTAGCATTCACGGCGTCTATCCGACCCGGAGAAGGCTGGACATGCGCAAGTTTGCTTGAGAGGCCCATACCCGAAATGCCAAATCTTCGACCATAAACCCTGTGAGCCCTATATAGTAACACTCACAGAAATTAATGCAAATCATTATAGTTCAATCCGAAAACAAACCAGGACACTAAGACCCAAATTCCCAAGTCCTAGTCCAAGACCCCCCAGGGCCCCCTGCAACACGAAAGCGCAAACAACCGAAAACAAATACCATGAGCCTGTGAGATTCGCCGACCAGTACCCTGAACACAGCTGTTTTTCGGTTCGGCATTTGGGATTCCTGGTATGCTTTTTTTGTGCTAATAGGATGGATTTGGGATTGGGATGCTTTGGCCTGTTGTGGATTTTTGGCTCAGAGATCCGGGAAACGTTTTGTTGCTGAAGCGTTCCTGCCTGGTAGCTGACAAAACTGGACTGGGACGCATAAAGCACATTATGTTCATTTCCGTTCTTGGAGTACATGTAGTCTTACCGCAGGTGTGTTTGGCGTGTCGGCTTTTCGGGCACGGGTTTTCGGGTTTTGGGGTGCAGCGGCTCCTAAATCTACTTCTGAATCCCCATAAGAGTATGCAGGACCCTGTGGGCAAGAAATCTCCGATGTAGAAAACTCGAGGTCACGTTCCGGACCAGAAATCTGCTCCTTCAACCACACAATCCCTCGTCTTAACGTGCCACAAGCCTGCCTGTTGTTTGCAGGGTCTCAATAAGCTGGTATTTGTGTACATACACACACATACATACATATGTGAAACTGTCATATAGAAATAAAGATGCACAACATGTTGTACAGATGTAATATAACATAACATAAACCATATGCTACAGTATATTATGTGAAAATACGGCATAATAGAAAATCAAACAAGAAATTACAGTACATAATAAAATATTATGTAGTGCAACATAAAGCAAGATAAGATAACACAATATTAGAAAATACCATTTTTAACATAATATGATCCAAACCTATAAATAATGCAAGAAACAATCACACAATACAGTATATTCTAATAGAATTAAATATAACATAATTACTACATGGAGACATGGTAAGGTTCCTAGGACATGTAGCATTGGTAACGTTCTTAGGGTACCACAATGAAGCTGAAACTCGGCCCTCCAGGAGTTTCAGGACCCTAGCTTTGAAGAGGATCCTCAGTCATGCAAAGATTCCACCCAAAGAGCCTAACTAGTTTGAAGCCCCCCATCTGAGTCTTGTGTCAGTGCTCCGTCCTGAACCCTCGAGCAATGAATGCCCTGATCTTGCGGAAGTAATCGTCGTTGACATAACGACACCCCCAACCCTCAACCCTCAGCCCTGCAAGCTCCATCTTAACCTCAAGTAACCTTCCTTGTGCAGACATATGTCATATAATATATATATATATATATATATATATATATATATACATGAGGAAACTCTATACGCTAATCTCCTGTATCATAGAATGCTTCTAGAACCTTTATAGTAACCCTCTTAAGACCCCTTCTAATGAAAAATATGAGGGTTCATAGAAAAGACCCACATAAAGACACAGGGATTCTTCATAAGGTACCTCCACTAGAGGCGCCAAACCCTGAACCCTAAAAACCTAAACCCTGGCCCTGAACCCTAAATCCCATAAAGAATCCGAAACCCTGAACCCCGTGCACAACCCTAATCCCATCAAGAATGCCAATACCGAGGAGCCTTGCAATGCAGACACTCGATGTGATCGCGCCTCACCTCCGACAGAGGCTGAAATCGGAGGCTCTGAGGCTTTCAGGGCTTAGGGGTAGGACGTATGTGGGGGCATCGGATGTATGGGGTTAGGCTTAGAGGGTTTAAGGGTATGCGGGGGCGTAGGATGTAGGGTTTGGGTGTAAATAGGTTTAGGGGTATTGGGAGGGGAATAGGATGTAGGGTTAGGGCATATAGGGCTTAGGCGTATTTGGGGTTGAGGATTTAGGTTGTTTCGGGTTTAGGGTTTAGGATTTCCTTGGGTCTTGTTTGGGTATTAGTCTTGGGACAGCGCTTCTCGTGCTAGAAGAAGGGCGTGCAGGTGGAAATGCAAATCTAGGGTAGCTCATTGCTCAAGATTTCCTTCAAACACAGGCAGCCGGCAGTCCAGCCTCTCAGCTTAGTCACCAGTTCTGGCATCTGACTGTTGATGATATATGCTTGATTGGTTCTTTGAGCATGGTGTTTGGGACCTTGCAAAACTGGAACAGCAGATACTACCCAAAGCATTCCTAAAACGGAAACGGCCTTTAAAGGTCATCAACATTACGAGTGCACAAGCAGGCATGCGCATGCGTACATTATACACACATTCATGCAAGCATACATACATACCTACATTCATACATGCATGCGTAAACTCATAAAGCTTGTGAGAGAGAGAGAGAGAGAGAGAGAGAGAGAGAGAGAGAGAGAGAGAGAGAGAGAGAGAGCGAGACAAAGAGAGAGAGAGAGAGAGAGAGCGAGAGAGAGCGCGAGTAGATCGATTAGACAGATAGACAGATAGATAGGCACATCCATCCATCCATCCATCCATGCAAACATACGTTCATTTGCGCGTATGTGCATTCATTCATTTATGGTCGTTCATGCATGCATACATGCATACATAAACACGCGCCAGTCATACGTGCTGACACGAAGTTTGGCAGCCACGGCCTCTTCGCCTTCGCCGCTGCAGGCGGGACACACGAACTGCGCACATCAAGGCGGCTTAGAGGGGATCTACCAAGCACGTTTTTAGCCAGGTTCCGTCAAGCTCATCGAACAGTGGGCGAGGCTTTAGTAGCAGGGTGTATACTGTGGCCTTTGCAGTAGCACAGAGCTGGAGAAGGGATACAGATAGATGTCTAAATCTAGGGTGTTGAGGCCCCGAGGTTTAGAGGCCGACCTTTAAACTTCCACAGCGAGGTATGGAATGCGCCTGGGTCCTCCAACAGGACTCAAACGTTCACACCCTCTCCAAGCCAACCTCAGATTTGCAACCGAAACAGCCGAATGGGGCTATTCTCAATGCATGACCTTCGGGTGGCTGCTAGAAACCCTGAGAAATTCGGTACGGTAAAGGCTTCGGGATAGAAGCAGGCCCTCAGTGAATCAGTGTAGCCATCTCTGAATCTCTGATTGACATTTACCCTATGTCCCCAACGGTCCCCACCCCTACCGCTAACCACCACCCCGACCTAGACTTCGACCCCTGCCCCTTCCCCTCCCCCGTACCACTACCACTACCGTTACCACTACCATTACCATTCCACTACGACTACCACTGCCACTACCACTTGGAGTACGACTACGACTAGCACTGCTACTAATAGTAGTAGTAGTAGTAGTAGTAGTAGTAGTAGTAGTAGTAGTAGTAGCAGTAGTAGTAGTACTACTACTACTACTACTACTACTACTACTACTACTCCTCCTGCTGCAGCTGCTGCGGACTGCTACTGCTGCTGCTCCTGCAGCTGCCGCTGCTGTGGTACTGCTGCTGCTGCACTGCTGCTGGTGGTTGTGCTGCTGCCACTGGCGCAACTACTCCTGTTGCAACTTGCCGAAAGAAGGACCCTACAACTTGCAGCCCGACACAGGAATCCACAAGTTCGATTTCCCAAATATGTTCAACTGGAATCTTGTGAAGGAGCTGAATTTAAGTTACCATAATAAAGAAACCCATGATAATACTGACGTTTGATCCCTATTCTGGTAAATTAAGATGCTTAACAGGAACCCAGTCAACCCCCTGACGCACTCCATGTCAGCTCGTGGCATGGGCTTCAATTGCCGCGGGTTTTTCAACTTCATCAACGATGCCGGCTTTCGGGAGCTAGGAGCCTGGCACGCCTCATTCCTTGAACCGCACACGGTCCCCTTGAAGGAAGGCCATCATGCAGGGTCTGCATGACTAGTGTACAGTTCACATGAGTCTTACATCGGAAGTCGGCTGATCCTGACTTAGTTATGGCCTGGTGTAGCCCAGAGTTTGAAGCTCGTTTGAAAAGCTCGAATCTCCCGACAACTCCGGTAACGATGGTTTCGAATTCAGGACCCCAAACAACCTGTCGACCGGAAATGAAGGCGACATCAGCAGCACCACCAGCAGCTGATGTGTGCAATATCCCTCTTAAAGATTTCAGTGAGAAGCTGGAAGCAAAGCTTGACGCCCTCCGGGCCTTATTGCCCCTTCCTGCAGTGCAATAGCCGGCTCCATCGCAGTTCTTGCAATCCACACGCCGTGTCTTCACCTGCCAAGCTCTAAACACCAACTACACTGTTGGATCTCACACTGTATCGGTGGAAAGCAAAGATCCTGCAGGATATGGACGACACTGCGAGATTTCATATTAAATCGCCTTGGGGTTTTTAGCTTCAGCAGATCTTGAGGCTACACTCCACGGCGCGAAATATTTTGGACTTCAGCATCTGCAGCGGACATCGGACCTAGTGGCAACGCGATACGTAAACAAACTCTAGATCCCGCGACCCGGACTCACAGCCTTGCAAATGCGAAGGGTATCTTGAACCGTAGGTTATTATTGCTATTGTCATTACTGTTACCATTATCATTATTACTAATGTTTCTGTTTACATTTCTAGTATCTTATATCCTACAAACCTCATAAGGCGCAGCGCATGATCTGCTTTCTTTGGTTTTGTGGACTCCATGCCAGTCTGAGTTCGACACGGAGGTTCCGCTGCCATCGCACGCTTCGCAGGGCCTGCTTGCTTGAAGCCAGCTCGGAACTGCCGTGAACATGTGAACAAGGATGGCAACTGCAAGTGTGACAATACGAGGTATGATATGCGGACCTGTGGAAGTTCAAGTAATAACAGGAAGCAATCACCGCAGCAGCAACAACCATGACAACACGAACGACACTTCCTGCTTGGCAATTTCTGTCCCAGAAGGTCCAGCTCAAATGTACAACCACATCTGCAGTTGTGGAGGTGTCCTTTGACCCGCAAGAACCTCATCTGCGGAAGGTGCGATGTACTGGAAGGGAAAAGGCGAAGCTGTTGTTTGATGCTGTTTGGCTTTGGGGAGTTTAGAGTTCAGCAGTGTTGCGGTTCAGGATTTGGGGTTCAGGGCCAGCACGGGTGCACATCCTGTCAAGCCCTGATCCTTAAAAACTTCACTACGCATCCAGCATCCAACACCGAAAGCATAAAAACGGACCGGACGCGTCGTGAACTCGTTTCTAAATTGACAGGAACCGCAGTTCGCTTGATTTTGAACTGCACTAGAACTTGCTCCACACTGAAACTTCGATGCCGTACTTGCTACTCCCTAGAGCTGTGGACCCTATACCAGCAACTGAAAACCCGAAAGGCCATTCCAGACACTCCACAATTGCTCGCCTTGAATACCTTGAACTCCAACCGCAAAATACCTGACTAAACCCTGAATACTTATGACCCAAACCCTAAGTTCCTCTATCACGAAACCCTAAATACATTACCTATAACTTTAACCTTCAAGCCTAAACCATTCATTCCAAGGTGTGCCGGCCCCCTTGGCCTACCAGACGCCTGCTTCGGCGGCATGACAATCGGCGACAGCTGATGAGACTCCTAAAATTATGCGAATGTTGGAGTCCAGAGTATAGCTGTTGGGGTTAAGGGTGTTGGTCCAGTTCAAAATGTCCGAACAGTAGGACTATTGTGATTTTTTCTGCAAAGAAGAGGTGCTTTCTGTTCTTGTCTTAGACTTGATATGGCATCCCTAGTCCATCTAACGCCTCTCGATACAACTTCAAACTTGCGATCACGATTCGGATCGCCAGCTTTGGACATGAGGTTGCCAGGCGTCATCTGAGACCCTTTTGCTCGGCAATGTTGCAACGACTGTGACAGCCAAGACGACGGAAAAAGTGACCTCATGGCCATTACAAGATCTCACAGCATCACCAGCTCTCAACGAAACATGTGTTGCACAAAGTGCAGTTGATCTCATGCCGCGCGTGGTAATGGGTGGCAGTGGTGGTGGTGCTTTCGGCAGCAGTGCTGTCAGGCCTCGCCACACTGGGGTTTGGATCTGGAATTAGCATTCACGGCGTCTCTCCGACCCGGAGAAGGCTGGACATGCGCAAGTTTGCTTGAGAGGCCCATACCCGAAACGCCAAATCTTCGACCATAAACCCTGTGAGCCCTATATAGTAACACTCACAGAAATTAATGCAAATCATTATAGTTCAATCCGAAAACAAACCAGGACACTAAGACCCAAATTCCCAAGTCCTAGTCCCAGACCCCCCAGGGCCCCCTGCAACACGAAAGCGCAAACAACCGAAAACAAATACCATGAGCCTGTGAGATTCGCCGACCAATACCCTGAACACAGCTGTTTTTCGGTTCGGCATTTGGGATTCCTGGTATGCTTTTTTTGTGCTAATAGGATGGATTTGGGATTGGGATGCTTTGGCCTGTTGTGGATTTTTGGCTCAGAGATCCGGGAAACGTTTTGTTGCTGAAGCGTTCCTGCCTGGTAGCTGACAAAACTGGACTGGGACGCATAAAGCACATTATGTTCATTTCCGTTCTTGGAGTACATGTAGTCTTACCGCAGGTGTGTTTGGCGTGTCGGCTTTTCGGGCACGGGTTTTCGGGTTTGGGGTGCAGCGGCTCCTAAATCTACTTCTGAATCCCCATAAGAGTATGCAGGACCCTGTGGGCAAGAAATCCCCGATGTAGAAAACTCGAGGTCACGTTCCGGACCAGAAATCTGCTCCTTCAACCACACAATCCCTCGTCTTAACGTACCGCAAGCCTGCCTGTTGTTTGCAGGGTCTCAATATCCACATGCTCGTTTGTAGGGTTGGATCCGCGGGGGCTGGATCAGTGGGCTTGGCAAAAACCAAAGTTATCAAAATCAGAAGTCAACCTGAACAAAGACTTATTGGATACGTTACGACACGGTAGGTTTGTCCAGAATTAATGTAACTGGAGATTTGCAGACACTGAAAATTGTTGAGAAAACCATGAAAAAATGTAGTATTATTTCTGTCCAAGCCGGTGTGTGAACAGAGCAACCGGAAGCTGTGCCATTCCAGTGACCCCTTGCACCGACATTGGCACGTCGGGCAAGGTCACACTAGATGGCTGGCCTTTGTGTCCCCAAGCAAGGAAACTTGATGGCTCTTCGGGTGAGAGCCCGGCAACACCAACAGGTTTTCGCAAGGCTGAGGACGTCTGTGCAAGAGCCGGCAGAAGCTGCAAAGGTGTGACTCCCAAATTGTCAACAAGAAATTGTTCCTCAAGTGTGTTCACTTGTGCCATGCCACTGACCCCTTGCACCGACATGGGCACATCGGGCAAGGTCACAGTGGATGGCATCTATTGTTTCCTCACACTGCTCAGAACAACCTGTCAACTTAAACAGGTTGCTGCAAGGTTGAGGAAATCTTGAGTCAGCATGGCATTGCTTGGCAAGGTTGACGATTCGAATTGAGGAAATCTTGAGGAATCCTCCTCAAGTGTGTTCACTGAAAGAGCCATATCAATTCTGTTCCTCCAAGTGTGTTCACTGAGACAGCCACATCGACATAAGGCTGCAAGCAAATCAGACTTGTGTCTCAATTGTTATGCAACCTTCTCATCAGTCATCGCACTGTTTTACCTGTGTTGCTGCATGGCCTGCTGTTGCTGTTGTGTCACAGCATTCACACCCCAAAAACCAGTCACAGCAGATTGGCTTGAATAATAAAAAGCATGCAGCTCAGTAAGCTATGAAACGTATTTTGGCTGACGAAGCGGATCGTCACAATAGATTCCGGACAATCTGCGCAACTGCTTCCCCGAACATCGAAGTGTATTCCCCACTAGCCTGTACATCTGCTGGCACACCGGTGAAACGGCCGTCTTCGCCTCGGTTTACCAGACCAATGAAAGCATTATGATCTGGTTTGGGCCTGGCCAGGTTCTCAAAATGAAACCCAGGCAAATGCCACAGTTGCAAGGGCTTCACTGACTTTCCGTTAAAGGCACCCATGTAGGTGCAAGTCTTTTCGAAGCCACAAAAGGATAGAACTGTTTTGACACACTCGAGGTGCGGCATACAGGAGCTGAGGGGCTGTTCCACCACAGGGCAGCACTCACATGCCCATCCCAGGAAAATCCCAAGTGAGCAAACAAGGGCCTGACAATTTCCCTGCAATACAAAGTCCCGCTCAGTCCATGCGCCTTCCCAGCCGTTGCTTTCAGCACGTTGGGAACGAAATGAGCACATAATGACAAAAGAAGAGCACGGAGTGCCCCACCAATGCAAAGCCTTCTTCTCACACGCTGTGGCTGCATCCAGAAACAAACGCAACCCTTTCGCCAGCAACATGTTGTGTTCGTCATTGTAGAGTATGTCAAAGCTGCACCCACGGAGACCGGATTCGATCAATTTCTTCGAAAGTTTGGCGCTCCCTGCATAGTATTCAATGTATTGCAGCAACCCCGCACATTGATGGGGTCCCACATCGATTGAAGCTGCTTCAATCTTGGCTCTGTTGTCATAGCTACGGCTAATGATGCACATCAGCTGACACTCGATGGTTCGGTTCTTCAATGCGGGATAAGCCAATCCAATCAGCCCATGCCATTTCATGGCCACTCTGCCCACATTGAAGTCCTGGTCGTAGCGCAAGAAATTTTGCACCAAAATCCTTGCAACCATGAGCCTGTGACACCAAGGCTCTGTGGACCTGGCCAGCAAGATCAATTGAGGATGATGATAAGTTTATGTAGTATTACATTAATGAAAAATTCATATTATAACAAAATCTGTGACCCATAACACCTTGAACAGACTCCGGCCTTGGGGAGAAAGACAAGGAAGCAAACGGAAGGAAATGCGAACATTGCAATCGCGATGTTTGCTCGAAGACGTCCTCTACCCAAGTGTCAAACCGATCATCAATTTCATCAGTTCCTGTAACTGTATCGGTAAAATTCAAGGCAGGAAGAGTACACGGGCGCTCCACTGATCTACCTCCCAACTCAAATGACTCTGCAGCATTCTTTTTCCTTTTGCATTTCTTGCGTGCTGGCTTCACAGGCCCAGCACTACCACTGAAGACCAGCGATGATCCCAGCACATGCTGGCACGGCCACTGGAAATTGGACATGTTGGTGATTCACTGACATCAATACATTGATTTGTTGTCCCACATAACTTTAAACCATACCTCTGGTCCAACTTGAGCAACAAATGGATTCAATGCTTGCCTGGCATATCAAGCACATTCCACAAACTAACAGGACACAATGTCAGGAAGGCTTGTTTTTGCTGATCGCTTTCTCCCCGAGCAATCTGCAGCATAACTATGGTGAGACTTCATGATTCATGTCATGTCATCTTCAATTGCACACTTCAGGCATTCAGCAACTGTAATTGCAACGTAACTGTAAAGACTCAATCACAGAATGAACAGCAACTGCGCACAAGCTGAAGCCAAAATTGTGAATCGAACATGTTGCCGCTATGACAGCAGGAGCAGATTCACACACATTGGACTCGGCTGGATGAACTCACTCCCTGTGACTTCTTGAATCGACCGAAGACTTGAAGCTAAGAACACGATACTTGCATACATGACATTGACAGAAATCTGCAACCTGCTGACATGTTTTCCCCTGTGATGTGTTTATCACCAAAAAAAACTGAAGAGGCTACTTGGCATACTTTGTGGGCGGAGGCATTGCGTCGATAATCGGGGCAAGGCGTTCCAGGACAGCCTCAGGGATAGTGCCAGGCTGACAATGAGGCGGCAGTTGCCTTTCAGGTTTGGCCTTCTCCCACTCTGTCCACGCCCAGCGATGCACTTGAGCCAGTGCTTGCTTCCAGTCTGATCTGTCGTTAGCAAAGCTTTTGCTGCAAGACTTTTTCCCCTCACTTGACACATACTGTTTTGTCATGATCTCGGCTTTGAAGCGATGATCGTTGAAGCTGAGACGCAACTTGAAGTCTTCGGGTGGATCCAACTCCGACAGGAAGTCGGGAGTGTTATTCAAGTGTGGACCATGCTCGCGCGGAGCACGTTGCGATGCCTGGCCACGATGTGCAGCATCATCAAGGACCTGCTCAGGGGCTGATCCGCTCGAGGACGAGGCCTGTGCCATTCCACTGTCCCTTGGCCCGGATATTGGATCCGGCAAGGTCCCATTGGATGGCTGTGCTTGCACTTTTGTTTCCTCGTGTGCGACCCCGGCACCACCAAGCACAGAGTGTGGACGGGAAGCATCGACACAGGGCTCCTCCGCCGGGGGGGCGGGCTCTCCTTCACCAGTGTGTGGACTGGGAGGATGGGCGCAAGGCTCCGGTGAGGGGGCGGGCTCTCTTGGACTGGGAGCATGGACACAAGGCTCTGCCGGCAATGAATCAGGATTTGTTCGATCGTCCATGACATTCATGTCCAACAGCTGGCTTTCCAACTCCTCTTTGAGTTCAGCGATATCTGGATCTTCTTCCACTGCTGGTCCGGGCATTTGTTCGAGCACCTGCTCCTTGCGTTTTCGTGACGCTGCTTGCCTGCGAGCCAGCCCTTGCAAGCCCAAAGCTGTGCCTCTTCCAAACCCATTGCCTTTTCCACGGCCTTTGCCTTTTCCTTTGCCCTTGCCTTTGCATTTTGCTTTGGCACACGGTTTTGACTTTGCTTTGGCTTTTGCCACAGCTCTCCTCGCTCTTTTGGCCTGCAATCGAATCACAATTGAGTCACAATTGAGTCACATTTGAATCACAACAATTGAGTCTAAGCCTAGCTCAGAAACTCACTGGAAGGTCTTGCCAGGGTGCCTTTTGTTCTGCAACCTTCTCATCCCACATGTTTTGCCAACGTTGTTGCTCGGCCTGCTGTTCCTGTCGCATCAGGGCTTTCTCCAAGTCCTGGAAATCCTGTTTATCTGAGGGCTCCATGTTGTCCAACAATGCTGATAGAAAACCATCAGGCATATCTGCATCAGGAGCCTTCTGAGTGTCTGACTCTGCAGCTTCACGGCAAGCTTCTGCAAACTCTTCTCCGAAACACTCCTGACACTGTTTCAACAACTCCTTCTTGGAATTCTTGTGGGGTTGTGTCACATTCAAGTAGTCCGCCATCAATGTCAACTCCGCAAAGGTCCTTTTGTGCCCGGAGCGCAAAGTGTTTTGCACAAGTGGTTCCCAACCACACGTGGCTTTGAAATAGAGTCCTGCCTGTGTTGACAATTTCGGAGTGGCTTCACATGCTTCCCATTCCTCAGGGTTGTGAAGGAACTGCCATGAGCAACCGGCCTCCACTTGCAACTGCCAGCCCGAGCACCTGCCGCCCTCATGAACTTCGGACAACCGCCATGCCAACACTGCCCAT